GCCCGGGGCTCCGCCCGCGGCAGAGGGGAGAAGAGAGGAGGCACGTTCCCGGCAGGTGCTGCCGGTGGGCGAAAGTCACTTCTGAGGGTGTCGCTCCCCGAGTCGGCTTCCCACGCGATCCCCCGAGCGAGGTCTTGTGTCTAATACCTTGTGTAAAGCGGCTTCGAAGAATAAGGTACACCTGATGAAGCTCTGTCCGTCTCCAAAAAAGGCGTATTCTTGTCCCGGCAGAAGATGGGTATCGACACTTCTACACAGATTATTGGTTCAACTCAAACAGGATTATCTTCTATCATTCCATGATTTTCAGTTAAGAATCGATTTTATTTTTTAAAAATCCATGCTTAATGCATATTCTTCAAGTATTTTCCCTAGAGATCTGTCTTGCTCAACTTTTTTGAAGTAGAAAGAAAAATCTGCGGAGCCTTAGTAGTCTTATCTTCAGTACCCCATTTCCTGCTAGTAGTAGACTAGAATTCAACCTTGATGAGGTACACCATACTGCATCTAGATCAGTGGATTGCTCCTTTGCAAGGTTGTACACTGATCTGCTTAAATTATAATAAATGAGTATCTCGATACCAAGATTGTGTCTTTTTTTTTTTTTTTAAGGAATTTCTTTTTTGATTGGTTTGACTTTTTTGCATAGTGTATATATAAACATTGAAGTACAAACACTGCAGTTTCTTAACAGTTAACTGAATCATTGATTTAAAATTAATTTTCGTCTTGATTTCTGAAGTATGGAGGAGCTCCAGGAGGACCAGCATTCCCTGGACAAGCTCAGGATCCTTTGTATGGTTATTTTGCTGCAGTAGCAGGGCAGGTAAACTTATAAAATGTTATTTATTTCTTGGATTTTTTTTTTTTTTTTCTGGGGAATAATTTCTGCATTAGCTTTTGGCAAGAGGAATGCCTAATATTTGCAGTGAGGAAAACTGTTGTTTCAAGTTTTAAAAAAAAAAAAAAAAACAAACCCAGAATGGTTTTACTTAGCCTATCTGCTATATATAGCTATATAGCTATACCATATAGCTATATACACACAGCAGCTATACAGTTTGAGTAATGCCGTTAGTTTCTATATAGTGTGTGTATGTGTGTGGAAATGCATACATACATATACACGCACATGTTCGCATGTATGCGCTATATTTCCTATATAAGTATATACAGGGACTATATAGTTTCATGAAACATTGTAACTGAATTGTGGCTCAGCTCGGGGTTGGGGAATGTCAGTTTCAGGAGAAAGAAGCCAGAAACAATGGGAAGCACGGGCTGTGGAGATGGCCTGGCTACGAGCAGGAAATGCTAATAAGAAAGAGATCATTACATGGTCGTAATAGACTTAATAGACTCACAGATGGAAAAGCAGTCTTGAGTTGTGCCAATATGTGGGTTTGCTGGTAGGATAGAGTGATTATTCTTTTAGAAGAAAAGGCATTCACAACTTTCGTTTAGGCCTTTCTTTTTTCCTCCCTGTCATTCTGCACTGCATTTTTAATTTCTTTCCTGTAATTTTGTGGCATATATTGTTTTTGTATGATTATGGATGTTATTAGAAATAAGTAGTTCTTGAAATATATTACGAAGTTTAGGAGCAAATAAGTTAGGTTTATTGAGCTGAAGTTCTGTCTTTGTTGGCCGTATGTATAGCTATTTATTGCATGCTTCTAGGGTGTGTGCAAATCTAAACCTCTGCTCCTGGATCTGTTATCCACAGGTAGACATAACCACAACATGAAAGTTTGAATTCAGCAATATTAGCTGATGTTTAAATTCCCAGTTTAAGACTGTAATTTGAGTTATTTTTGTTCTCTATGTTACTCTCTTGAATTAATAATGCATCTTACAGTCTATATATTACTACTTTAACATTGCTTATGAAAATATGTAGGCCGTGTATTGTAGTAAAGGAGAACACTGGAATGACCTATGTGTAGTGAGCAGCCTCTCTGGTAAGGTGGAGCCCAAGCTAAATTCTGCTGAACGTGCTGACAGTTTGCCTGCCAGCTGAGACACCTCTGCATCTAGGTGCCACCTGGGTGTGTGCCAGGAATCAGCTGTGGAGCCAGTAACTGACGCTGGAAAAATGAGTATGCTCCTAGCGTAGAGAAAGGGAGGTAACGGCAAACAGCATGCAGCCCTGTGGAGAAGAGGTGGCAGGAGCTGGACCTCAGCAAAGCATAGACCACCCCCAGGCTTCTGAATTGGGGCATTGTTACTGAAAGCTGGGGAACCAGTGAGCTAATGGGTATGATGAAGTTAGCGCTTAAGAGTGCTTAAGTTAGTATTCTTAAATACTTTTTATTTGTAGAAATCATTCCTTATTGAAATAAACTGGGTAGCTTTTAAAATGTTATCCTTAGAATTGTAAGAGTCAGTTTCAGAGACCAGTGGCTGTGCAGAAGTAAAAACCGTGTAAGGAGACAGTGAAATGGAACAGATACATTATCAGTTGCTGTTACAGCCATCTGTGCAAGTCTGTAAAAAGCCACATCTCACAGTTTTCCATAAGTATTTACTGTAGAATTAGTAAAGCTTTTGGCTATGGTTTGCTGCTTTCTGTGTTGTTTTTATGCCTATATAATATATAATGTTATCTCTGAGCTTTCTTTGAAGTAGTTTACAACAGAGATCTTGTCTTAGATTTGAGGCATTAGTTTTCTTTGTTTACAGAAGAAAGTCAAAAGTATTGTTTCAAATCTTTATTAAATTAATTGAGTCTGTCTTTGTAGGAAGTAATAATTTTCTTTTTTTTAGTCTGTTTGCAAAGCCCCTGTGCCTTGTCTAGTTTAAATGCTTAAGTTCTACTTAAAAACAAAACAAAAAAAACCAAAAAAAAACCCCTGAGCATCTTTTTGGTAATGTTAATGATGTTTACAAATCATGCTTTTCTGTTTTCTTGACTATTTTAAAGTTATATAGATCCTGCCTTTGTTTCAGAAGGCACAAGGGCTTTGAAGAGATTTGCTGCTTAATATGCATGGCTATTTCAGATCTCTCTCTTTTTTTTTTTTTTTTTTTTTTTTTTTTTTTTTTTTTTTTTGATGGGTTTTTTAAATTTCTTTTTTTTTTTTTTTTTTTTTTTTTTTTTAATTTTCCTGTGAATGTGAAGTTTTAAATACATCTGTATGGTTAGACTGATGGAGTAGATTGAAGCAATTTGGGGTTTAGCTACCATTAATTTTACATAGAATCAAAACGTTGTTGATCTTTTTTCAGACCTTGTCAAATACCATTTAACATATTAACTGCTATTTGTCCTATAAATAATGATACTTCATTTCTGAAAGTTACCTGGTTCTGCCATTCCCATTTAGTTACCTGGCTCTGCCATTCCCATGCCATTTAGTAGCATATCTCTCTTCTTAAAAAAAAGAAGAAAAAAAATGCTTACTGGATTTAAAAACATTAGGAAAATGCTGAGGCAAATAAATTTGTTTCAAATATAAAGCAACTCTTTTCCCTATTTAATGCTTTACAAAAGTCACGTCATTTTTAATATCTACAGATACAATGTTCCATCCCTGAATGAGGTTAAATTATACTCAAACTCTCTGTGAACCGAACTTCATGTTGGGTGTGTGAGGAATGTGACCTAGAATTCCAGCTCCACTTTTGACAGCTCATGGTTTTCCATGAATTGGCAGTTGCTTTCTCTATTTGGCCCTGAGCAGGATGCATTGGAAGTGAGTCATTTTCCAAACTGTGCGGATAGGTATCTTTCCTGCGTTTGTTTTGTTTTTTCTTTTAAAGTTCTTTGCTTTCTGCTTTTTTTTGTTCTACTAACAACTTACTATTCCCAAAAAACCAGATTTTTTTAGACTTGTAAGTTTTAAGGCTGTCTTGAGAAGAGGGTATGTATGACCTGGGTTCTAGCTTTCCTACTGTAGCAGTGAGATCATAAACACATAATCTAAAGTGATTACAATACCCACTAAGTTAAAATTAGTACTTTAAGGAAAGCTGTCTTTCTGTTCAAAATTTTGCACCTTGGTTTCTATGCAGCTGGCTCTCAAGTATATGCTACCGATATTTGATGTGGGTTTGTTTTTTTTTTTTAAAAAAGTTAAGTTTAGAGCAAACCTGCCAGTCCTGTTCATTTTTTAGTACATCACTAGATGGGAAAACTAATGCATATTGCAAAAATATCAACTAAAGAAACATCATTACAGATATGGGTTATAAAAGGCAGGTTCTGTCATATAGCAGACAGCTAACCAGTTGTTTTTTGAAGGGTAAACTAATGCCACTTAAAAGGGAGTGGGTACTGGGAATAACCAGCCTGGGAGAGGGAATTAGAACAATAGCTGATACATCTTCTGTTATCGAAAGGATGGACAAATAGATGCTGATGAGCTACAGAGATGTCTCACCCAGTCAGGGATTGCAGGAGCATATAAACGTAAGTTAATGATTTAAATAAGCCAAAAGCATACTAATTCTTATGCCATCTACTAGAAAACACTTGTAGTTGTGCCTTCTGCAGAGGTTTGTTTTTTTTTATTTGCATGGTGGAAGGGCTTTCTTTCCATATGGATTGCTTTGAAATGTAAATTCTCTGTATTCAGTTCTGTGCATATAAAACTTCCCTTCTCAGCCTCCTTAGTTCCCCACTGCTGAGCTGTGGAGTTGGAGAAGTGTTTTGTTTTGTAATGGACAGCCAATTCTTAAAAAGGTGTTTTGCTTTGTTTTTAAATTGAGCTTTGATATTGACCAAAAAATTCTGTGGCAGGACTCCTATTGGGATACCTAGTGTTCAATTTACAAAATTGAGCTTCTGTGAATAAAACTGGCTTCCTCAATGGGGTCTATGGTGAAATATAAATGACCACTTTGTCTGATACCCAAAACCTTTATGGATTGAGATAAGAGCAAATTAATTTTAAATATAACTTGAATTGCCTCCAGATTGTCTGCTGTCAGTTTTTCTAACAAGTAATGATTAAAAGCTCTTATCTGGATCGAAATATGGTATGGCTGTATACAGTGGAAGCAATTATGTAGTATTTTATACATTATAATATATTGTCAGTATATAATAAAAAGCAATTTAAAATGTAACATTTAGACAAACAAAACTGAAAATCGTTCTTTTCATATAACTTATTTTTCCTTTTTCTAATTTAAACAGCTTTCAACTTAGAGACTTGCAGACTCATGATCTCAATGCTGGATGTATCCTTTACTATGAAATGTAAACATTTTTGCATTACGTAAGCAAAGCTGAGAGGGTGCCCAAAATTTAGGAAATGCTTTGTAATGCCCATTCAGCTCTTACTTGATAAGTATTATGATCATTATAATTGGGGAACTACAAAATTCTGTTCTTAATCATTTTACTGCATGAAATTCTAATAAATTAGGCTCTTGGTGACTGATCTTCTTACAACAAGTGGTATCCCTCTAAGCCTAGGGGACATTGAATGCATGAAGAGTCAGGTCTGGCAGCCCAGAATAGAGTTTTGTGCAAATCGCTCGTTGTGCTTTTGAAATTGGACAACATTGTAGATGTCCTTCCTAATGAATTAAGCATTTGTACTACACAGCCTGAATACAATCTAAGTCCCCCTGAATCGTGTTCCTTGAATGAATTGGGTTCAAGGATCTGATGAGATGGTATATGGCATTGAGCAGTAGGACCTATGGGAGACTTAGGTATACTGTGCGAGGTTGGAATCTTTGGAGTTTTTTAGTCAAAACTTAAATTGTCATGTTCAAATGTTTTGCTGTTTAAAAAGAAAAAAACAGAAATGAAACTGGAAGGGCTGTTAGCTCACCTTGAACAAACCGCTTAGAATGCGAGAGAACAGATATTATTCTAACTTAAAGTAGTTTTTCATTTGGCATCTATTTTTATTTCAGATATGTATTTTATTGGTAACAATTACACTGCAACAGGTAAAAGAGAAGTGTGTGAACTGAGTTAAATTCACAAAGAGCAAATAGTTTTATCAGGTTTCGCTGAGAAGAAGTGGGGAGAGCAAGTTCTCTGACCTTTGGTTTTGGTCAGTAGTAGTATCTCTGTGCTGTGGGATGCTGTAGTTAGTTTTCTACCAGAAAAATTAATAAAATATTGTTAATATTGATTTTCAAGAAAGAATTTTTAACTACAGATGATACAAATTTCCATTGATGAGAGGGCTTTTTAAAAATTTTTCAAGTTAAGAAATGTTTTTCTTAGCTTTGGACTCAGAGGGATATGTCTGGCACACTGGGATTTAATGAGTTTAAAGAACTCTGGGCTGTGGTCAATGGCTGGAAGCAACACTTCGTAAGTTTTGACAATGATAGAAGTGGTACAGTGGATCGTCAAGAACTGGAGAAAGCCTTGATTAATATGGGTAAGTTGTGAAATGTTCTTGCTTCTGACACTGATTTACAGCATTTCCCAGTACCAGTTATCATCCTGCAGTAACTGACACATGATATTTCCAATTAAAAATGTGTTGGATTCTGTTAACTTACCTGTCTTTTCAATATAGACTTTTTATTTTCAAATAGGATTTAGACTGAGCCCACAGGCAGTGACTGCAATCACAAGGCGATACAGCACTCGTGGAAAGATTACATTTGATGATTACATTGCCTGCTGTGTGAAACTCAGAGCTCTCACTGGTATGCTGGATTATGGCCTTGTTACTATCATCCCCATAATATATTTTTATTTAACAAAATCTGATTACTCAGTTATCTCAAGTTCAACTGTAACTTTTATGTAACACAAAATGGGTTTCTTTCAATAGAGTTTACAGGCAGAACTGGAACAATTGTAGATTATGATTTTTTAAATCCCCATTGAAAAATGGACTTAAAACTAATGCAGGATTTATTCCAGAGACTAGAAGAGTTATGTTACCAAAATTGGGAAATTGTATTTATCAACAGAATGTAAAGGGTTGTATATGATAAATATGGAGAACGGGCAATTAAGTCTTGGAATGAATTGCAGTGCTCTTCATGAGTTCTCATTCATGTGACTTGGGGCATTTAATGAAAGTACAGTGCATTTTAGAAAAATTGATTAACTGTGTAATTCTTCTTACCTGGTTTCTGTTTTGATTTCTTAATGCATTTTTGCAGAATGTTTTAGAAGAAGGGATACATCTCAGCAGGGTTTTGTGAACTTCCAGTATGATGATGTAAGTGAACTTTAAGGAATAAGTTAAAATTACAGAGTAAAACTAAAGAAAAACTTAAAACTGAAGACAAACAGTAATGATTTGAGTTTGTGCCTGTCTTCCTTACGCTGATGGTGTTACCTGAGAGCACAAAGGTTCTGGGTTTTGTTGAGTATTGTCTCAAAGTTTTCACATATTTTATAGAATTCTCTAAAACGTTGTTGTGCATTTTTGTCTGGACTTCTTACCAGCATGATCCAAGAAGATCTAAGAGGCTTACGTTGCTTGCTAATATCATTTTCTGTGACTTTTTTTTTTTTCTTCATTTGTTTTAAGGCTTGGTAGGCATTTTTCCCAGGAAAGGTTGGGGGAGGTGCAGTGGGGACAGACACAAATCACACTCAGTCAGGTCTTGGCTTCCTGGCTGCATCTGTGCAGGAAAAGGAGAACACTAGATTCAAGTATTCCTGGTTTTTTTTGTTGTTGTTATTATTAAGGAGATGCTTTGTTTTAATTAACTATTAGCCAATTTTCATATTTCGTTTCAAAGCTTTGTTGTTCATGGTCTGAATTTGTTTACAGAAAAGGGTAGTGACAATGAGTATTTTAGGAGAAAAAGTGAAAACTTGGTCTCTACCATACATCTAATAAGTGATTATTCTTTTTTCAGTTCATACAGTGTGTTATGAGCATCTAAATCAGGAAGGAAGCTGTGGATGATCACGATTAACATTCCAGTTTGTGTTTTGCTTTGCCAAATCTTCCAATGATTGTGTATCTCAATATTGGAAATTGCGTATTCTATGAAGATACTGCTTTATACACTTGCATTTTTTTAGTTTTGACAATGACTATAAACTACTCATGTACTGTCATCTTTAACTTTCAACCTGTGACTATTAAAGATGTTTTTTATTTTCATAAACTTGCAATTCACTATGTATAACTCAAATTATGCAGATAGTAAGTTCTTCTCTGTGTGTTTACTTTTTTCCCTGTGATTCACTAAAACCAGTTCCTGGAGTGCAGCTTACCTTTTTCTGTCTTAAACAGTATCGTGTATGACATATGATACATATTCTTTTGTCTTTAACAGCATAAGACAAACTGAAAGAGCTTTTGGAATGATCATTTTACGCTGGTCTGTTAGAACATCAGTAAGTTTAAGTTGCTTATTTTGACAGCTAGCTATTTTCAAGATGAAGTCTGTGACACCATGCACTGAGTGTAAGACTACCTGTTAGAACTTCAGGGATGCGACAAAACATAGCAGAGAACTCTTCTAGCAGTGTGCTCTTGTATAGGGGGCTTTTGTTCCAGTGAGATTCTTGCTCTGTTTGTGTCACTATATAAAACATTTTTAAACATACAAAAACTACACTGTGTCAGTTTATACATTAACTTTCCCTTTAACAATGAACTTCTAAGGTGCGAGACTTCAGATACATGTAAGTTAATGTTTCTATCATCTCGTCTGCTTTAAACCCTAACAAGTAGCCTTTCCTGCCTCTGTAAGCCAAGTAACATACAAGGGCCAAACCCCACTTTGAAAAATTCTTGCCAGATTACTATTTCAGATGATGGCAGTAATTACCAATGCTGTAGAATTTACATGAAAGCAGATATGGAAAGGCAAGACTTTCTTTGCCTGAGATTTTTCAGGGGGAAAAAAAAGGGTTTTGTTTGGTGGGAGGTTTTGGTTGTTTTTTTGTTTTTTTGTTTTTTTTTTTGAGGGGAAGATTGACATTGTATGGGAAGAGGGAGCAGCATAACAGTATGGAGGTAGTTGAAACTTTTTTCCCAATGAAATAAGTTAATGAAACTTTCGTTAATTTTGGTCACTTCTACCTACCACAGAGGAGTGATAGAAGTTCTTTTGTTAACCTTGTGAATGCAAAGAATGCCAGAAGAATGTTAAAAGGAGTGTATTTCTTATATTAGTGGTTTAGAGCACTTTTGAGGAGGAGCCTTTGCACTAAGGAATGCAAGCAAAACTATACATGCCTGTGTGTCTATATAGATACATATGTGTATATGTCACTGGACAAGCAACAGAAATAATCCTCGGAGCAGAAATCTTGCTTGAAGATACTATTTTATACCCTAGCTTGCTAAGAATACTGTAAAGTCTAGGTCTCTAGTTTGTGGGCTATAAATTAAAAGCTGGCTGGTCTCACCTAAAGAAGCAACTAGTACTTACCACTTCAATTTAGAATCCTTTGGATATTGCTTCTAGTTTCATTTCAGAAGCTAGTTCTCTTTCTGCCCTCAGAAATGAATTTTAAAGGCACAGGCATGATTATACTTCCACATTCTGATAATTGTACACTGTCGTGTTGCACATAAAATTGGGAAACAGACATGGAATGCTACAGAAAGCATTTCTAACATGACCAAAGTCCATAAAGATTTGTCTGACTGAAGTAGCCAACATTAGTTCTGGTGTAGTTCAAAAATTTGACAGCTGACAAAGTTAGTAAACTGAGTATGAAGCAAAGGCTGTTCTTCCTGTAGGGTTTTGATTAGACCATTTTGCATAAACACAATATTCATCCTTACACTGTTAATTTTACCCCAAAAAGCATGAGACATCTTTACCAAAATGCTCATTACCCACACAACATTTGTCTCATGCTTCTGCTTAATCATGTTTCTGATCTTATACTGGATTTGGCTGGGATGGAATGAATGTTTTCTTTATAGCAGCCTGTAGGGTGCTGTGGTTTAGATTTGTGACTAGAACAGCATTGGTAACACACCAGTGGTTTAGCTGTTGCTGAGCAGTGCTTGCACAGCAGCAGGGTCGTCTCTGTTTCTCACTCTGTGACCCCAGTGAGTAGGCTGAGGGTGGGCAAGAGGCTGGGGGGGGACGCAGGGGGGACGCTGACCCGAATGGACCAAAGAGATATTCCATGCCACATCACATCGTGCTCAGCAACAAACCTTGGGCAGGGGTGGGTCAGTCTCTCCGAAGTAGCTGTTGCTTGGGGACTGGCTGGGCATGGGTCTGCTGGTGGGAGATGGTGAGTGACTGCCTTTGCATGGCTTTTTTTCCCCCACTTTTTTTCCTTCACTTATTAAGCTGTTTTACCTTGATCTGCAATTTTTTTTTTTGCTTTTGCTCTTCCAATTCTCCACCCACCACAGGCCTGAAACTACTAATGAAAGAAAATATCAGGCAATAATGAATACAATGTTCTTGTAGATAAGTGTAACTTACTAAATGATCTGAGACCCCCCAGAAGTTCCACACTCCTATACAGATATGAAGTTATGCAATAAATCAGGAGAATTATTGATGAAATAATATGTGGGAGTAAAATTGCACCTACAAATAAAAGCTTGGCTTGAAAAACGTGTTCAGCTTATTTTGCATACTTGGGGTTTTTTTGGAGAGGAGGGTTACTTGTTTTTTTAATGAGAGGCATAACAGGTGTCTGGAGCAAGGAAAGAAGAGGACCAATAACAAACATGCTATGTCTTTCTCAGTTTATTTCCCCAGGCTGAATTACTGTTTTGGCACCAGCCAGCTGCTGGGCAGTGAAATGCTGCAAGAACAACAGCATGAAACAGTAGGGTTTTCTTCAGGGATCTTCTAGGAAACACAAAACAGAAAACTGGAAAAGAAATTGCTCCAAAATCAGGAACAAATTCTAGCTTACCCAAGAAATAATTGCTTTTTCTTCTCCATAAGCATTTCAAAAAATCCGTGGTATTCACAGGGACTGATAGGATAAATCATCTTTCATGTTTAGACATAAACTAAGATAATAAATACGGTTGCTAAGGAGTGGCTACAGAATTTGCTGTCATCTAGCTAAAAAAAAGCCACCTGAAGCCTATGTGAAAATTGCTTCCCCATTAAGAGTAGATTCAGTGGGCAATTTGAATATGCAAGTTATCTGCTTTAGAGAAAGTTATCTATAATTGGGAATTCAGTGTTTCTCTTTCCCAAAAAGCATCCGGGGAAGGACGCTTATGTGATACTAAGTGGGTGATTGCTCTTGACCTTTATGCAAACATTTGGGCATAGTTTAGACTGTAGATAATTTTTCTAGGTTGCCCTCAGACATGCAAACCTAAGGAACAGTAATTTTAGATTGCCTTGAGAACAGTAGGACCCTAAGACAAAGACTGGGATGCTCACAGGATCATTTTCAACCCCGGAATTTGAAAAGTAACATCTGTATTCTGTTAAAAATAGCATCTGTATTCTATTACTAGCCATTAGCCTTTTTTTTCCCCATGCATGCAGCATCTTTTCTTTCTAGAGACCTATAAAACAGGAAATGCTAAATATACGGACTTAGGAGGACAAAATACAACAGCCTTTGTCATTGAAAGTCACTTTACTGATGTTACAATATGTTAGTAACATTGAAAACCACAGGCATTTGTATTAAATACTCTCATAGAAGTGGATACTGTGATGCTGTTATTAAAAGTGAGCAGGAATTTAGAACCTCAAATTACAATGATTAGATTTTATAAAAAGCAACATTTTGTTTAGCTACATGAAACCCAGATTCATTCACTTCAACAGCCCAATGCCTGTAATGTTTATGACAAAAATATCACACTCAAAGCTGGAAGTTGTAAATTGCAATGCTTCATTTTGGTGTTTGTCAAAATCTTATGTTTTCTATTACATCTATTATATGATCTTTAAAGGATTTTAACTAGCAAAGACAACAATATGGTGTAGATCGGTTGTTTTTGCTAATACTAGCCCAGCCCCAGTGGTGAAACTTGATTCTCCTTGCCTTTCTAAATGCTTTACCAATAAGGGCTAGTATGAGTGAAAAAATAGACAGCTTTTTTTTACAGCAATGCCCAAGATAAACATTAGCACAAAATGGAGCTGGCAGAGCCAATTGGTATATACCACCCCAAAAGCTTTACTGAAAGAACTGGTCATACTGTAAATAGTGTTTTCTCCAGCAGATTAAAAATTATGTAATGCTTTGCTATTCTGAAAAAAATATTTTGCATTTATGCAACAATAAAAATAAGTACTGTATTCTATATAAAACACTACCTATTGTAATATATCTTTACCCTTAAGAAAAGAAAAATCAGGTTATATATTCACAGTTTGATTATGTTCTAGACTGTATTTCCAAGCATAAAATATGCAGAGACTCTACACAGGCAGTGAGCAGGAGTCCTTGTACCAATTATCAAAATAAATCAATATTTACTGTTATACAGAGCCTTACAATATTGCATGATTAGCTGCTAGCACCACTATACTTACAAGGTCAGTCAGGCCTATATACAGAATTTCTAACGTGGTTGTAAAAATAGACTCTCCATGCTAAAGTTAGAATATATAAGGTCTTAAGGCCCCATGTTAAGATTTTCTTTTAACCAAAACTTTATTTTTTTATTCAGAGGAATACAGAAACAGAAAAAAATTAGCTTGTTGCTTTGACATTTTATGCTGTAGTAATTAAAAATAGTGTAAGACACCTATATGTCTCCCTTAGAGATGTGTTTCTTTTTAACTGCTCTGCGCTTACTTTCCCCAATCTTCCCCATCTCATTCTGAGTTATATTGCAATTACGGCCTGTCTACGTAGCAGAAGTTTTTAAACAATTTAAAGCTGGCTTAGCTAAAGTGATTTTGAAACTGGTGTAGATTGGATTTTAGAGAACTAAAACCACTAAACCTGGCTAGGGGAGCCAATTTTGAAGTCAGGTACAAAGTTTCTCAAGTGTGAGCAAACAACCACATTTCTGTGTTCTGAACTTATTTTTACTGCTTGTTTTGATTACTTGGCTGAGATAACATATTGATGTTGACTGTTGGAGAGCTTTGCTAAACAGTTGCAGAGAACTTGTGGAATAACACGATACCACCTGCTGGGTGTATGAGCTACTGTTTCCAAAGCTTTAGTTTACATCAGCATCCCTACTTGAGGCACCAGAAATGTTTTTCATAAGCTGACTTGGAAAATATTCAGGTCAAAGGAGTTTTTTAGTGTAGATGATAGGAGGTATTACTTATTGAAATCACACTTAAGAGTCCTATCTGTGTTGCAACTATGTCTACACACTCAGTTTCACTGTTTCCTTCTTTCCGGCTCTATTAGGATAATAGTTATGTGCACACAGGAACGTTACTCCACCATGCAGTTATGGGATGACAAGCTGTACGTATGTGTGCAGTTCACTTATATTTGTCTTCAGGAAATCTGATCAAAGCCAAATCCCATATTGCTGATGTCTCATATGGTTTGGAAACCATGCAAATTGTGGGTCATCAGCTCAGCAGTCTGATGGATAATCCATTCTGGACAAAAAACTGGCTTCAGGAGAGACCAGAATGCTCAAGCTCTTTAAAAATCAGGTAAATAACCTCACACTGTGATTGATAACAGTGGCCCAAACAATCTGCTAATGATACTTAAGTAACAGATACTTAAGTAACTTAGAGAAAGACATGGATGATCTTCAGACTCAGAGCAAGAGAAATAGGACACAGCACAACGTTCAGGTTCACAGACTCCGTGATTAAAGAGGCTTAGCCTTCAACAATGCTAGAGGGTGAGAAAGGATGGCTGAGCCAAAAATGGTTTTACCAGTGCAAACTGCACATGAGACACGAGGCTCCATCACCTACACTGTAGCAAGAGCAAAAGATGTTTTAACAGCACTGGAAAAACCTTATCCAGGACATTGTGTGGAAAGGCAACTTCGCAGCTTTTCGACCTTAGTCAACCAACACAAGAGGCTGTGGTAGGTGTAATTATCATTCATGGAGATGCTTTTCAGCAGGGGCGGGAAGGAGATGGAAGAGAAGAGAACAGGAGCTCGCTGAGTTTTACACTGGAGTTTGGCAAGTTTGCTTACAACAGCTAGGTATGGGATTCGATGACAGAGCAAGTCTTAAGAGCTAACCTGTTATCCCATAGGATTACAGTGTCTCATCATTGTTTCATGTTACATCCTATCCTATTCATTACGCAATGAAATAACTGCAAATTCTGTCAGAATTTGTAGTATATGCATGCCTGTAATAGTGTATGTACCTGTTCTTAGCCCTGGTTTTGAAAACAGCTATCACATTGGTGTTGACAAGACCACTCAGTTCATTTAAAACCAGCAACAGGGATTCAGGTAAGAGGACTTCAGTACACTAGCTATTGACACAATTTCAGGCTATAACCCACAGGTCCATTTGTTCATTAGCACAATCAAAATTATCTAATGAGTACATCAGCTTAGCAGGTTCAACAGCTCATAAATGAGGAACAAAACTCTTAAGTCATCTGGAAATAGCTATCTTCAAAGTCAAGTCACACTTCAAATCATGTAACTGGCAAGTAGTGACTTAGGTTCACAACTTATGCAGAGATAGGCTGTATAAAATGAACAACCTCTTTAAAACTACTTATTTAAATATAACAAAATTATATGTAAATTATCAATTAATCAAAACCATTTCTGGTAAACTGCCTGAGTATATTCACCAAAAGTCTATAGTATGGATTACTGAAGTTCTTATGTCAACAAATTCAGAATTAGCAGGTAAATTTTTACTTGTTAAACTGTGGAATCATTGTGCAGCAGTATTATGTGGATATGATCTCTATTTTCCAGTCTCCATCAGTTAGTCATATTAATTTTATTTTAAATTATACAAGATTCTTCTCCCACATGTTGAAATACATAACCCTCATTCTGCAGGTCCTATGCTCATATGGACAATTACTTGTAATGTATTGAGAAGAGCTGATGACTTCTCCACTTCAACAGGCATCTACAGCATAGCTGGCAATAACTAGTTCATTTATTAAAATAAAATTGAAAACAAAATAAAAGCATGAGTCTCAATGAGTCAAAATGACTGAGCTATCCTATTGACAATACAAGTACTCTATTTTAGACTGGATGAGGTATTATGTGGCAATTTATATTGCTATTGCCAGTGTAACTAACTACAGCGGATAAAAATATTTGCAATCTTCAAGGTTATTAATCTGGCAGCTTTCCAACACACTGCATTTTAGAAGTAGGAAACCACAGAATGTAAGCAAACAACTTCTCTCTTGGACCTCCACTGGCTTTGGAAGCTCACACAGCCCTATTAGTTCAGGTTTTGTGCAATGACAAGGTCTCCAAGTTATCAAACTGATGCAAAATTCTCTGCAGAAGAATTTTGCAAAAACCCAAGTCCTGTGATGTTCTCACTCTAGATCCTCAAAGTGAAAGTCAATATTTATTTAACTTAAACTTAGTGCTCATAACTAGACTTCCAGTCACTACCTACCTCCAAATGTGAAAGTGACTGTTAAAGTTACACTACACACATAACTGTATCATCATATGCCACAAATGAGTTATACCAAAACAAGAGAGAAGTTGAAAGTACATACTACGTTGAAAATACAGTCAGAAGAGCCATTTGTTTGCAAAACAAGAAGCTATGAGCATTACACAAAGAGCCAGTATGTTATATCCAGTTCAGTCTGCCAAATCTTGCTGCTTCTTGATAAGGCAAAATGGAAAAGGAAGAGTAAACAGTGGTAAACATAAAATACACATAGAAATCTAACAGGATTATTCAAAATTACATGCCAGTTTGTATCCAAACAAAATACCATAAAAGGCACATGATGAACGGTCCAGTTACTAAAGACAAGATACTAACATGTGAGGGAAAAACAGCTTCCAGGTGACAGAGTAACACAGAGGTTATCGGGTTACCATAACGTCCTAATGCAGGTGAACTCCTTGAGGCTCCTGCTCAAAGTCCAGTGAAATCAATAAAAAACATATTGATTTCAAGTGATTATGGCTCAGGCCCTAATTTCATGAGCTTTACGCTACCAACTATCTTTAATCCAGTTACCTACACTCAAAGTAAATTTTTGCAAAAAATATTCTTCAGTGCTGACGGATATTTACTCTTCACAAAAGTGCAGAATCTTTTCCTAAAGCAATTACAAGTGATTAGCTCCTTCCAGATGGTCTGTCTGCATCAACTTGTACTCACTCATATTTGTCTTTCTCCAAAATACTTACCAGAACCTGTCGACTGTGAAGAAAAATCATTTGAACTCCATCGCCAATATTTTGTCATAATCCAACACAGAGCCTAATCATAAAATATAGTGTTTCTAAAAATCTTACATACTTTACAGTTGCTGACATCTTTAAACATCTCTTAATTTAATCTTACATATATTTGACTTTATCGAGAGACTTAAAAGTTAAAAAAATATATTAAAAGGCTGCAAGTGTTGGGTTCACTTATTAAAGGGAATACAGGAAAGAGGTAGAAGATTCGGAAACACCATAGGTGTTCCCATCACAATAATATCTAATTGATCACACGGCTGTTGGGCAAGGTATTCAACTGCACCACACAGAATTGGGTGTTTTATTCTGCAATGGTACTACCTGAAGCTAAGAATTAGTCAATTTTGGAGAGCTGGAGAATTATAAACTGATCTAATATGGTCCAGTTTCTTACTGACTGAAAATTCCCAATCAAAAGACATTTGTTTTACAACAACCTTTAGAAGTCTCAGGTGTTAGAAATCTAACCATCCACTTATACACAGGATTAACATCTCCATGGTAAAGGGTTTGTTCCCCTGCCCACCCTGTTTTTTTAGGCTAAACTCACTTGTACTCAGTTTAATGCCCCAAAAAATTGTCAAGAGGGCTTCAGGGGCAGCAAGCATAGCATTCAAGCGCATGGTAAAGGCGATTCCAGTAACAAATAAAAATTAAAAAACAGCAATGAAACTGGCCACTTGCCCAGCACTGTTATTATCTAGTGCAGTGAAATCGTTATGCTTCTCATAAGCTACGCCTTGCCATCTGAAACAGTGTCTGAAATGCTCTATCAAAAATACACAGCAACTCTCACCAGAAGGACTTCACGTCACCACATCCTGAATTGACTACTTAGAAGTATTCCCAAATGTCCAGTAAGTTTGGACTGCACATTACTTAAAGACTCTGTCTCTGTTGACTGCCGAATCATTCTTGATTACACCTGTGAGAGGATACACTGGTCACCTCACTGAACAACGGATTTTGACTGGCTCCTCTTACGATGATTTAAGACAAAGTGCTGCTGTACAGGTTTCTGCAGTCTACCATACAGTTGAGATTGTCACGACAGTATAAGATACTGAAAAGATAGTATAGATTTTGGTCAAACACCAGTTTCTGAGAGACACCGTTTTACAGTACTGTACTTTCTGTATTTCCAAAGTTGTCTGCTCGTAATATGAGAAAATCTGAAGTGTGATGATGTTAGTCATGACTGTTTCTTTAGGCATTTGGCAAAATACACTTATGTATAACAGCTATTTTTGACATTATCAAATGTTTACATATATACAATCTGTATACTGAGATTATAAACACGTAAGGTAAAAAAAAGATATAATCCTTGTTTGTTTGACGTTTGTGTCAAATAGTTGCCTTTCAAAGCTTGAAATCTTGTCACAAAAAAATCCTATATTTCTTACTCCTGCATGCTAATTTCTACTACAGTATGTTGTTTATCCCTTACACGTGGAAAGTAAAGAACACAAGGTTCATGCATACAGCGTACAAGTTTACATCGGCTGGGCTCTTCAGGAGGCGCGTTCCCAGTTCCACTCTGGTCTGACTCAGGACTGCATTAAACCAGAGAAAAGCCTCTCTTACACGGGACTGGCAAACAGACTGCAGTTGGGATTCTAGGTGAGTGTATCTGTCATCATGCGGAATAACCTTGTCACATCTGGGCTAAGTATCCCCTGTTAGTTGCTATGATTTTGGTCGTTTATCAAATCCAGAAAATACTAGTCAACAGAAAAGAAAGAAAAAAAGGACTGCTTTTTTCCCTTCCAGATGAGAGGAGGTTCTCACTGTGATCACGGGCATCTCTGTTGATCTTTCGAATTGTCTGAAGAGCAGATGAATGTGCAATGACTCAGTGATGCTGAGTTTCTATAAAATTCGAAGTAAACAGTTCTGATGTCACCCAAGGAAAACAGTGCAGCTAAATGGATGTCTCCCACAGCTGGAGAGGGGGAAAAGGAACACAAATACACACTGAACACCAAGATAAAACAGGCTGTTACCCAAACAGCATGAGGAGCTTGTTTGGGGAACTGCATCTACATCACTTGGGTCACCAAGGCTATGCTCTTGGTCTCCTCCCAGCCTGTGGTGGGTATCTGTTCAGACCACAAAATCAACAGTCTCAAGCATTTCAGCATGACTTGCAGTCGGCACAGTAAATGTCCATGTCTGGGAGTGCGGAGAGTTTGAAGGAAAAATGTCAGTGTAGCATCAACTTTGTATTAGACAGCTTTTACCTTACAGTTACGCTAACTAATATTAGTGTAATTTCCCACTCTTCTGCCTAACTCTGCTCAGGGAAGCATGAATTTCTGCCGTGGGTTTGAGCTGGTGCCGAGGCAGCTCCAGGGCCAAGAAACATCAGTGCAGCCCTTCCTCCAAGCTGCTCTGCTACACATGTACCTGGGAGACCCTGTGCTGGCCCGCACACAACTTTCTGCCCCGAGCAGGACGTGGGGGTCCAGCATGCAGGTCCCCTCAGCAGCGTTCCACTCTTTTTTTTCTTGGAAAAAAAGGACAGAGAGCAGAGATGGGAATCTCATCTGCATCAGGAACACGAACTAAAGCTATCACAAGTAAAACTCCTAAAATAAATTTCAGAGGTTTTTTGCTTTTTCAATTATCTGCTATGTCTGAATTGACAAAAAGGAAGCAACGGCTAGCGCTGCCTTTTGGCAGCAGCTGGAAATCTCTCCCTGCGGAGCAGCATTACCATCCATAGCATGTTCCAGTGGTTCCTGCTCTCCCTGGGGGACCAGAGTGCGCTCAGGGCATGCAGCAGCGAAGTCCCTCCAGGTCTGCAAGGGCTTGATACAAGCCCTCCACATCCTCCTTAAGTGCAACGTAGTTACCTTTCCATAAAGCTGGAAAGCAGCTATCCCCCAGCCTGAATGAGAGTTTCTGGCTGCATCAGTCCCCTGGAAGGGGTAAGGCAGGAGAGCCAGACAAGCTGCCTGCTCCAGGGCTGCCCATCCTCCACAGCTCGAAGGCTGTGCCAGGCACGCTCCCAGCTTGAAATAAGACAACTAGTGAAATCTGGGCTCAGGGCAGATTTAAGAGCAATCTGAATGGGTATCTGTAAACACAGCCACCGAGGCTGCCCTAATCGCTGCCAGAGGCTCAGCCTTCAGCAGCTTCTGGAGTTAAGGGTACGAAGGAAATGCCACTGCTGCTCTCACTGTTCGTGAAAGATGCTGATCTGCCATGCTTCCCTTTTGAAAAACTACCAGTAAATCAAGTCACTGACGAAATGCACAGAGAAGAAGGACACATACCCTGGCACTTTGCCTGTTGGCTTTTTTCTCCTCATCAGGAAGTGGTGGCATCGGGTAAGGGTATTTTCTGCTGGAAGCAATAGATCCAGTGGACGAAGATGGAGATTTTGCAGGAGACAGTGTCCTGAGATGTTGAAACACACAAAATAAACGTGATGTCTTCGGGTCCCAGCACTGCAACAGCAACTGCCATTACTCTGAAGCTTGGTTCAGAACCAAGTATATAGCTTATTATTAGCTCAATATCAAGGGGATAAAGTTTTTTGCTCAGTAACCTAATAATTTCATGATATGAATAAAGGTATTTATAGCTTTCAGGAACACTGGAAGAAAAAATAAAGTTTCCTACTTCTTATTAGACTTGTATTGCATAACAAAAATAATTTCTTAAATTGTTTTATATGGTACTGTAATTAATAATTATAAAATTAACAAACAAAATCTGCAATTGAATAAATATAGAACTAAAAGATAGACATGGCATTATGAAGCCTAAATAGAAACAGTGATTGTAAAAATACAAGCTAAACAATGTCTTCTGCCAGTGACTAAATGGCAATTATCAGTGTCTTTATGTATATCTTACACATCTCCTATATTGATACAAACATAGCAAATAAATCTATTATTTTATAACACATTAATTTACACAAATGCATGCACTTAGAGGCCAAACTGTTAGTTGTGAAGTAACAAAGGCATATACAAAGTGCTAATAAAAAATTATTAGACATGCAAGCATCATACAGTGCATATTGTTCCAGCCAAAGAAAGAGTCTGATGAGAATATACAAAAATGGACTGATTAGTCAATGGCAATCAGCATTTCTGTACAAGGTGAGTAGAGTAAGCAGGAGCAAGTAAATGTTTGTATCACATGAAGGCATTCTTTTCATGTCAATAAGGCAGCAGCACATTATTGACTGAAATTTTATACCCAAGAAAAACTCCTATGCTTCTGTTTTGAGATTCTGCACTTTTCCCACTTGAGAGGTTCCTATCAAGTGAGGCTCTAAATCTGGGCAGAATAAAAGGGAAAAAAAGCCTCAAAGTAGAAGAATTGAGCTACCCTGGCCTTCTTGTTCTGTTTTGCAGACTGAGGGCATTTTTCAAAGGAGGCCTCCCACTAGTACAGGCACATCACCCAGACCCTCCCTGAGCACTGCTGCCTACTATCTGCTGAACTTAACGTGTCTCTGAAGATAAAAGGTTTCCCTTGGTTTCTACAAACAGGTCTTCCAAGCCCCTCAAACACAGCAGGGGGCTGTGTGTTGTGCAGCTGCAGACCCCAGTGATAAGCACTATCACTGATACCAAGGAGCCACAGGAACCATCCCTGGCAGACAGCCCCACATCCCTGGCTCTGGGATTTGCAGGATCAGGTCCTTTCATCTAAAGAGGATTACAGACAAGGCAGGGGCTCTTCTGTGTCTGGAACTGTTGTGTACCTCTGTTATCTAAGTGAAATTCATTTACCTTTACATAATTATTCTTTTATTTTGGACTACTGTATCATTTTATTGTGTCTGTAGCTCCCTACAACAGCACACTCTCTTGTCTCCCATACAAACAATGATTGATGGTAGCCACAAGCAACAAGGTGTCAATGGAAATTATATGGTGACAGCTCTCCAGTCTGGCTCACGTTCTCTAATGCCTCACGCTGTAGCTTCTAAGTTCAACAGCCCTTAAAAGATTTAGGTTGGTACAATTGTCCAAACACTGAAGAGTGCATCTTCAGCACATGCACTTTGATCACCCATTAAGATGAACTGGACATACATGAACGCTTTCAGGAAGAAAATTTTAAACAGCTACTGCAGTATAAAACAAAGCTTTCATATGTCTGGCATCACAGATCTGGGCACCAAACTGCACATGCAACAAAACAGATTTTTTTTTTTTTTAAATCTAGGGAAAAGTTCTCAACAGTGCCCTGCTGTTCACTACCCGTACAAATCCTCTCATCTGTGCCCACATTTGGACTGATAAAGATCACTAATAAACTATTAGTGGATCTAGAATCAAAAAAATAAGGAGAGGAGGAAGGGGGGAAGATAAGGAGAGTAGATTTTACATATTATTAGTAATCCAATTATTCCTGAATTTTGCCCCACAGCTACAGGAGGATTTTAAATCTTGTTTAAGTTTATAACGATGCACCTGGAGATTAGAAGCAAGGAACTGGGGGGTGTTAGATCTGACTTGGCAAGCCCTATCAGAAAGCTGTTTACATAGGTACCACAGTCAGGAAGTGGCACACAGAATGAAGACATCTCCCATTCCTTGCACCACATCCAGACACAACAACGCCTGCTGCACACCACAGGCTCTTCCCACAGGCTATTTCAGGCACCACAAGAGAAGGCCATGGTGAGAGGGAAAGCCATCAGCCTGAGTAGGTGATCCTGGAAGGAGCAATAACGCCCCCCAAGAATGGGGTATCTTGAACGTTTTCCCTGCACAGCAGGTCTTCTGACCAGGATCCCTAGCTAAGCCTGTAGCCAGGTAGCTTTGCACCGTAACTCAAACACAATGCTGCCTTTTCAAAAGATTTTGAAGCCCAGACCTCCAGCGTAGCTGCCTACATTTTTTACTTCTCAACCCCACTTCGTGTTGCCAGCTCACCTATGGTTTGCTCACCTAACTGATGTGCACATTGCAGCTCACCTGCACGTGCAAAGCTACAGCCAAATACATTGAGAATGCAGTTGCACACTTAAAAGAAATGACCTCGCCCTCCCTTCGCAGGCCCTCACCCCTTATTTCTGCTACACAAGTTATGTGCTGGTTTTTGTCATCTTTAGTGCCATCTACTGAGACTGTAAAAACGTATCACTACTAAGTGTATGCTCACAGATCTTAGGACGCATCTTGTGTGATAAGCGTAGTTGTTTGAGGTGGTTTTGATCACTTTTCAGGTTCTGCCCTGCAATTATATATGTGCTGTGTATCCCAGATTTACATGGACTTTAAATGAGAAAGAGCCAGACATGACCTTTCTCATTTACAGGATGGAAAAAAGACAGCATTCAGGGACGCTTGTGGTAATGCTGGGGTTAAAGGTAGGCAAAACTTTGCAGTTTGGTCAAGGGTGGGATCCATTTAGCTTTCACTGGGGTTTCAGTTCTCCTGCCATCACATCCACTGGCTTTCATGCCAAATCTTGTTTCCAGCTGAAACTTATACAAAAAAATAGGAAAGCAGACTGTGTTGCAGACTGCATTCTGCCCTGTACGTGCCATGACAGTTTCAGAGGTTTTACCACCAACCCCAGAGAAAGCCATGCACCTAAACGCACTGCAAGGATTCTAATTTCTGACCAGAAAGCAAGATGTAGTGGCCACTTCGTGTCCATCTTTCTGTCCTGGAAGCTGAAACTAGGAGTGTGGGGAAACCATGCTGGGATTCACAACAAAACACTGTGGCAGCGGGAGGACATTTGCATGCGCTCTCCTGCAGCCAGGCATCTGCCTGTTTGTCACCTAAACAGGGTGAGTGTTGGCCCACAAGGGACAGTGTGAAATGTGTCACCTGGTCACACAACTAAATGTCTTGCAACTTTGAGTGTCATTTTAGCTGAACTCAAGGCAGGTGGCCCTGACAGATCTGAGCTGCTCATAAGCTGTGCTTGATTTTGTTTCGTAGATTGAAATAATTTAATGAAATTCACTTAACATTCAACATGGCGAAAGGATTTCAAGCCCAAATGTAGACACTATCAGCCTAATCTGACTTTTGCTACCGTAGGTTCAGTTCTTTGTAGGACATCATCAGCCTAAATTATCCTACATTAGGAAGTTGGGATCTTCTAAAAACACTGATGTGGCTAAACATTTTAAATGCAGTTCCTTTTAAAAACCACAGATATACGCAAGTTTCCTCAGAAAGTGGAGCAGCAGAGGGGAGGCTTGGCACGTAGGGGGCGGCAGAAAAGGCAAAGGCTGTGGCTTGAGCCATCCACTTTAAGCACTGCACAGCAATGCCCCAGAAGCAGGCACTCACACGCTTTACTGAACTCTTTTCCCTAACTCTTGAAATGAAATCCTGATCCTGTTGACGTCAGTAGGCATTTTTTTCACTGGCTGCCAACAAGGACAATAGTTTGCTTTGGTTGTAATGGGGAAACTCAGCAAGAGCAGGGAGCTAATGGTTGGTCATGGCTCTGGCCTCAGTTGGATGCTCGCAGAGGAAGGCAATGGACCTCACAGAGCAGCGGAGCCAACTCCAGCTAATGATCAGCTGAGGAGGAGCTGAGAAGAAATCTAGGAAGAAAGCAAGAACACCAAAGCACAGAAAAAACAGGAGGGAAATGGATAGCCTGTTGTCTCCTGCCCTCCATGCTCCTTGCCAATGCTTTTCTGATATGGGATGGCCAATTTCCCTCTGGGTATGCATCCTGGGTCTCCATCTAAAAAACCTGTTTTCTTCGTAAACTATTTTTGTACTCAAACAACCCCTAGAATCTAAGTTACTGTAAATATTTGCATTAAATCAAATGTAGGCAACTCAGTGCTTCAGAACATGCCTTCTAGTCTTTTTTGTCTGTAATGATCTAAGAAATGCCACATTTTGGGATTCTGACGGTTCATTTTCTGATACGATCATGGTTTCTGAGTCTTTCAAGATTCAGTGAGGATTTCGAGTAATCCTTAACCATATTTCATAAGGTCAGTCTGTGCAGTAGCCACTGTAATTGGCAGTAACAAAAATAAGCAGTAGTATCACACTGGTAAAACAGCGTGCCTTGCAGCAAAGCCAAAATCAGGGAAAGGTTTCCTGCCTGGGTTTATTGCTGGGGTTACACAGCTGTGGCCTGGCATGTAAAATTAAAATCTAGCCTAGACTTTGAGCAATAAAATGAGATCTTTCTTTACAGATCTTATTTTCTTGCAGAAGGGAATCCCACAGCTGGGAGCTTTCTGGTGCCAGAGACACCAGCTACAATTATTATTATCATTAATAAAAAGTAATTATATAGAAATACCCATTAGACTTGTAGACTAGGAAAAAAAAATTAATAACTAGGACACCAGGTGTCAGAGAGACAAATTTTGATTTATACAAGGTTTTTTTAAGCTGATGGAGAAAGTCTTTGTGATGACTAATATCTCTATTATCTGA